GATAAATTAGTGTATTATGTGCTAGATGGACTTGCCTAAAGAAAATTTTCAATTTTAAGGTTGAAACTGCCATGTTTTGACCTGTTTAATTCGTCCATGTTAGAGGCCGAATCAGAATTAGGTCAAAACATGAAAGTTGTAGGAAATATTGTTAGATAGCTGTCTGCAAAATTTCAGCTTAATCGGAGTACGGTAGCATGTGAAGTGATAAAAATACTCTTGACTGCCAAATATACTGTTTTGTAGACAATGTTCTATTTTCTCTGAGATTGCATATTTTGACCTTGTAAATGAACAAATTGGGTGTTGATGTCTTCATAGGAAATGTAGCTTTCTATCTTAGATTCAAAACGTATGAAGTATACACCAATTTGATAAGTGTAGCTTCAGTTGTGACTGAAACGCCAAGAGATGTCAAACCTGTTATTTTGTTATTTGTCTTGAACATTAGTTCTGGTCGCATTGCTAGCATTATTTTGTAATTAAATGACATTGAGCCTAGTGAAAGGCTATTGTAGCAAGATTATTTGTGTGTGATTTTGGGGCTAAATTGAGAAAAATAATGAAGTCATAAATGGCTGAAAAATAGGTAAATACAAAGGACGTGCTGCCCAAATTTTCACTCGAGGGTTAATTGGATGTACTCGCGACTTGAACGAAAGGTTTTAGGGTTGTTCATGTTTTTAAAACCAATTGCTAGCTTTTACTCCAACGCCACATTGTTATCTCTTTGCCCTAGTAGTTAACTTGATTAAGCACACGACTTACAGTCGAGGCTCATTTGTGCATTTCGTTTCCTGGATTTGTGGATGGGGGAAACCATAATTGTTTTATCTTAGTTGTTGTTAGGACGTGACGGTGATCAAAGCCATCCTTTGGGAGAAAACTTTTGAAGTTATCTTTGCTTGAACTAGTGAGTGTACCACTCCCCTGAATTGTTGCTTAACTGGTTTAATTGTACTTGAAATCTGTGACTTGAATGACTATGAACTCTGTTTATTCTGAATGAGACGAGGGTGTACTTTATCACACTCGTTCTCTTGCCTGTGTGATTATTTACTGTGTGAATTTGAATATGTTATCTGTGTTTATTCTGACGTCATTTGGAGGCTTGTATCCAATGATCCTTTTGTGATCTCTGAGTTTAAATCTTGTGGCTAGTTACTCGAGTCGAGCCGGCAAAGGTCTGGTCGATTAGATAACGAGCCACGGTAGTCTGTTTTTGGAAAATCTTTGGGTATTGGAGACTCTGGATTTCCGGTATACTCGAGTATTACCACCTCTGTTCTATGTGTAATGTTCGAGCCTGGCAAGGAGTATGTTTGGTGGACGGAATTTGATGTCAAGTGGGGTCTACGGTCATGTTTGTCTCCTCGAACGTTGACGGAGTGTCAACGAGTTGGGATCAACTACTGCAACGGGAATTTGGCTCTTGAGAACCACCTATATCCTTTCTATCTGAGGTGTTTGTTCATTTCCTTATATGATGTGTATATGTTCCTTAAAAGGGAAATGCCATGATTCTTGACTACTTGTACTTGTGGTACCTCATTGAACGTAAGCTCACCCCGTTCCCGTTATATTTGTTTTCCTTACAGGGTTCAATATTTTGAAAGTTATGATTTTTGAAGAAAGAGTCGAGCTAGTGTAGACATTTTTTTGATCATGTTCCTTTGTAACCAAAACCCTAATTGTATTTTGTATACGTGTGGTTACTATGGCTTGTATTTCAGGTTAACTTGTTGAAAACTCTGATGTATATATGTATATAAGTGTGTAATCAAATGTTTCAAGTGTATTCATTTGAGATTGTACGTTTCTATGGTTATGTGAATTTTCTTGTATCCATTGGGGAAATCGAGCGAGTGTGAAGCTTGAACAAGGAAGAAAAAATTTGGTCGGATTTTGACGTGGCTACGGTTTTTCGCGCTTTCCGATGATTCATTTTCCCAAAGTTCTTTGGACTGTTTGGTAAAGTTTATAAATGATTTGATCTGTAGTCCTGGTGAGAGTTGGACAGACGGTCCGCTGACCCTTTGGTTCGCCTTAGGGGAATGTGGGGCCGTCACAACCTTTACCTTTACCTTTAGGAAAGTTGGGTACCTTTACCTTTAGCTTTAGATGGCAAGAAGGGATTTTGACATGCTATGCTCAAATAATACTTGAAACTATTGTAGCACCGAACTATGGCAGATTCATTTTCCCCGAAAGACGACCTATTGTGCACAATGGATAATGCTATACTACTCGTGAAAGCGGTATTCAAAACTCAAAAGATTGAGCAAGAGGGTGATGAGGCCGCAGAAGTTGCGAACTTTTTTAACAGCCTTTGGGTTGATAAGGAACAAATGCTATGTCTCACAGCTAGCTGGTCAAAATTCAGATCACATTTCCGTTCAATATTATCTCACCTAAAAATCACAAGATTGCCCGGTGTACGTCTCCCTGGGGCAGACAGGCAGTTTTACTCATGGGAAGCTTTTCTCATCAAAAGAAGCTTTGAAACTTTTTGCTCATCTCATTGCCAGATAGATATTTCGAGTTCGAGTTCGTCCAAGCTTGGCTCATTTGTGAGTAACAAGTCGAGCTCAAGTCACATTTTCATTTTTTCAAGTCGAGTTCGAGCACACATCATGGTTCGTCTGCGCTGTCGAGCGAGTTCAAGCCTGGTTCGAGTTATTCACGAGTCGAGCTCGGCATTCAAATACTCAACTCGACTAACAGCTCTACTCAAGACCTTTGTAATAGAAGACCAATGTAGTAACCGTTACACCATCACATCTTAATAGCTTGTTTTGATAACTCATTTATATAAAAAAAACAGCCATATTTCTTTTTTTCATTTTTTTTTCAAAATCTCATTCTCTCGTGACTTTTTCTTTTTAATTTTCAACTCTCTCTCTCTCTCTCTCGCTCTCTTTCTCTCTCTCTCTCTCATCTTTCTTTTGTCACTCCCTTTTTAATCAAACTTCTTTAGTTTTAATTTATTGATATTTTTTTCTATCTTTTAATTTTGTTTTTGTCCATTAAATTGAAAAAAGTTAAAAAAAATTTATTTTTCTTTAACCCAAATTATTTAATGCCACAACCACTCACTTTAATCTTTTTTTTGTTTCTTATCATGTTTGCATTTCTATTTTCGATTATCTTGTCTTCCTTCAAACTCCAAACTTTCTTTTATAAATTGCAATCTCTAAATCTCAAAAACGTAAATTAAAATTTAAGTTTACAATGTCTAAATTCTCATAAACGTGAATTTTGTATAATTTCAAAATATTGTGATATTTTTGGGTTGGATTTAAGATTTTTTTGGTAGATATAATTGAAATTGAGATGAAATTTATTTGTTTCAACTTACAATTTAAAAAATTTATTTTTGAAAATTCAAGTTATTCAAAAATAGTAAACTTTTCATCATATAAAATTTTAAATTAGTCCATTGCATGTCTTATTTTGTGCATATATATATTTATATAAATTATTTTTTAAAAAATTCATTGAACCGAGGTCGAACCGGTCCGATCAGTTGAATCTCGATCCTTTCATTTCACCAATTCAATTGATGGTCCGGATTTTAAAACATTGTAAATTTGTTAGGAACTAGTCAATTTCGAATTGTTATCATTTGTTCACCTGACTACTTGTAGGGCAGCCCATTAATTTGGTTTAAAAATTATTGTCCTTTCTGTCACCGACAGAGTATCCTCGGCAACAATGCTCCACATGAATCCAGTGTTTTGAAAATTGGATCGGACCGACCGGTTCTATCGGTTGAACCGCGAACTGGCCATAGCACCGGTCCGGTTCTATGTTGGTGTTGACTTTGTCAGAAAACCGGTCAAACCCGGTCAAAACCGTGAAAATCACTGAACCGGATCGAACTGGATTTCAAGTTTCCCCTCTTTTTTTTTTTTTAAGTTTTGCAAAATGCTTCTATCAAGATTCAAATTCAAAACTTTTGTAATACAAGACCAATGTAGTAACCATTGCACCATTACATCTTTTTTTTTTTTGATAACTTATATATATATATATATATATATATATATATATATATATATATATAAAACAAATATCCATATTTCTTTTTTCCATTTTTCTTACAAAATCCCATTCTTTCATAACTCTTTCTTTTTAATCTTCCACACACACACACACTCTCTCTCTCCTCTTTTTTTTGTCACTCCCTTTTTAATAAAAAATCTTTAGTTTTAATTTATTGATGTTTTCTTCTATTTTTTTAATTTTGTTTTTGTCCATTAAATTGAAAAAAGTTAAAAAAGAATTATTTTTCTTTAACCCAAATTATTTAATGCTACAACCACTCACTTTTATCTTATTTTTTGTTTCTTATCAAGTTTATATTTCTATTTTCGATTCTCTTGACTTCTTTCGAACTCTAAACTTTCTTTTTTAAATTGCAATCTCTAAATCCCAAAGACGTAAATTAAAATTTAAGTTTACAATGTCAAATTCTCATAGACTTGAATTTTGTATAATTTCAAAATATTGTGACATTTTTGGGTTAGATTTAAGATTATTTTGATAGATATAATTGAAATTGAAATGAAATTTATTTGTTTTAACTTATAATTTAAAATTTTTATTTTTGAAAATCCAAGTTATTCAAAAATAGTAAACTTTTCATCATATAAAGTTTTAAATTAGTCTATTGCATGTCTTATTTTGTGCATATATATATTTATATACATTATTTTTTTAAAAATTTATTAAACCGAAATTGAATCGATCCGACCGGTTGAATCTCGACCCTTTCACTTCACCGATTCAATTGACGGTCTAGGTTTTAAAACATTGCATGAATCTTGACGGTAGCCTTTGCAACGTGCAACAGATTCCTCTGGTTTTCTATTTACCATTTGTACTTGTCTGTAAAACATGCCTTTAATCATTTCCAACTACTGCCTTTTTGTTTTTTCCTTTTACCTGCCCCACAAAGTGAAAAAGAAAAAGTAATTACCATTTCCGTTTTCCTCATTATGAAGTCGTTTTCACACTCACTCACATGGACTAAGAATGAAGATGAGCTCAGTGTAGAGATAGCTAGCTATTATAGAGAACTCTTCAAGACTTCAGATGCAAATGAAATGGAGGAAGTGTTAAATGGTATTCCACACACAATCTCAGGTAGTATGAATGCTAACCTAACAAAACCTGTGGACGAAGGGGAGATTAGATCAGCCCTCTTTTCTATGAATCCTGATAAAGCTCCGGGTGTAGATGGAATGCCTCCCATTTTTTTCCAAAAGTTTTGGAACATAGTTAAAAAGGATTTGGTAGGAGCTGTCCAAACTTTCTTCCACACTAGTCATTTGCTTAAGTCTGTAAATCATACAGCCATTTCTCTCATTCCTAAAATTTTGATTCCCACATCCCTTAAGCACTATAGACCTATTAGCTTGTGCACGACAGTTTATAAAATCATAGCAAAGATTCTAGCTAATAGGTTGAAGCAGGTTCTCCATGCCTGTATCAGTAAAACTCAGTCAGCTTTTGTTCCTGGTAGGCAAATCCTAGACAATATTATGATTTCACATGAGTTTTTACACTTCCTCAAAAACAAACGGCAAGGGAAAGAAGGATTTATGGCTGTGAAATTAGATATGTCTAAAGCTTATGACAGGGTGGAATGGGGGTTCCTGGATGCTGTAATGCGGAAAATGGGGTTCAATGACAAATGGAGAAGCTGGATCATGGAGTGTATTTCTACTGCTTCTTACTCGTTCCTGGTTAATGGCGAAGTCAAGGAGTATGTGGTGCCACAAAGGGGCATTAGGCAGGGTGATCCACTGTCACCCTACTTATTCCTCCTATGCTCGGAAGGTTTTTCCAATCTCCTCCAAAAGGCAGCGTCTGAGAAAAGAATTGAAGGCATGGGAATCAGCAGGAGGGGACCAAGACTAACCCATTTATTTTTTGCAGATGACTCTTTGATATTTTGTAAAGCAGATTCCCAGAATGCAGCTGAGCTCAAAAGGTTACTGAACGTTTATGAAAGAGGAACGGGCCAGTTGATTAACCTGGAAAAATCCTCAGTCATCTTCAGCAACAATATGCAGCAGGAAACGAAGGAGGAAGTCAGCCAAGCTCTAGGAAATCTCCATGTTGTAAGCCAAGGCAAATACTTGGGTCTTCCAATGGTGGTCACAAGATCTAAACAGCAGCTGTTTGGATACATTAAATCCAGTATTCAACAAAGACTAAAAAAGTGGAAAAATAAACTTTTGAGTGCAGCAGGTAAGGAGATTATGCTCAAGTCTGTGGCATTGGCTCTGCCAACATACACAATGTCTTGCTTCAAGTTACCTAAAAAGTTGTGCAAGGAGATTAATTCCACAATGGCCAACTATTGGTGGGGTGAGGAGAATGGGAAGAACAAGATTCACTGGAAAGCTTGGAACAAGATATCGAGGGACAAGAAGGCAGGTGGCTTAGGCTTCAAGGATTTGGAGGCTTTCAATCTAGCCTTATTGGGAAAGCAGATTTGGAGGTTGCTCACTCAACCAAATTTGCTGGTCAGTAGAGTTCTAAAGTCCAGGTATCACCCAAAGCAATCAATTTTCAAGTGTAAAGTTGCAGGGAATGCTTCATGGATTTGGAAAGGACTGATGCGAGCTAGGCAGCTGGTTGAAGAAGGAACTCGAAAAAGGATTGGTAATGGTCTGAGTACTAACATTTGGGAGGACAACTGGATTCCTATGACACCAAATGGAAGAGTGACAACACAGCAGCCACAAGGAGTTAATTTGGTTAAGGTGGCAGACTTGATCGTCCAGAAAAGATGGAACAAGAACCTTCTCTTTAGGAATTTCACCTCCACGGATGTTGAAGGAATACTAAGCATCCCCATAAGCTTAGTAGACAGAGAGGACAACAACTTTTGGATTCATAATTCAAATGGGCTTTATTCAGTGCGATCAGCCTACAGGGTACTAACTGAAGAGCCGAAGGCTTTCGAGCAGGAGCTCAGGGGGCCAGCTAGTACTAGCTGGAGTATCCAAAGTCAGAAAATTTGGAAGTACCTGTGGAAACTGAATATTAAGCATAAAGTGAAGCTTTTCTTATGGAAATGTCTCAACCAAGCATTACCTGTAAGACACCTCATTCACAGTAGAACACAACAAGGTGATCCTATTTGTAGAGTATGCGGAGAAGAATGCGAAACAGTTGAACATGCATTACTCAACTGTAACCATGTTAAACTGGTGTGGAGAATGGCAACTATCCAATGGGAGGGAATTACAAATCTGCAAGGCTGTTTTGGTTCGTGGTGGACCGCGGTGATGGAGGCGAGGTCCAGAAGTGAGGGAGATGAACACATTTCTCTCACGGCTAACATTCTTTGGCAGATTTGGAAGAGCAGAAATGCGACGGAATTTGAAGGTAAGCAGCATCCCCCAATACGAATAGTGCAGAAAGCTCATGAGGAATGGTTGGAATATGGTGAAGCTAATCTCACTGCTTTAAAGAGGAGTACAGAAGAAACAGGAGACCAGCCGCAACCCCCCCAGCAACAAGAACAAACAGCAGGCATTCTGAGATTAAGATTTGCTATCGAAAAGAGCAAAGACAGCCCCCAAATGGGGATTGGAGCAACTGTCTCTTTGGATAACCAACAACTGATGAGAGGATGGGCTCTACGGGAAAGATGTTCTGGCCATAAGCTAATTGATGAACTTACTGCAATTAAGCTACTGATTTGTAAAGCTGCTGTACAGAGTTTGGAGCGGTTAGAAGTTCAGGTCCAGGATAAGCAGACACTCCATCTTATCCAGCAGCCAAAATCTTCGGATATGCGAGTGGTCACACTGCTGGAGGATATACATAACCTTAAGTACCTGTTTCGTATGTGTTCCTTTTGCCTAGTTAACAGGGATATTAACCATATTACTCATAGGATTAGCGCTCATGCGCTAGATTTTTTTGTTGACCAGGAATTCTGGATTCATCAGTGATAGTTAGCACTGACTGTGTAGTTCCCTCAAGTCTTTACTTGAAATTGTAAAGGTTTTGCTCATCTATAAAATCACTTATCGTTTCGGAAAAAAAAAAAATCTCCGATAAGATTCATCACCATTATTGTTATGCTCCATGTGAACTACCTGAAGCTAATAATAGCAATTCTAGCCAACAAAATTTGGCTCAGTCAGTAAAAACAAGCTCCTTTCTCACAAAAAGCAGTTTATTTAAATCCTGTCATTAAGGTGGACTATATTAGTGAGCGATTTAAAAGAAATTTTATAAGTGATCTATGGTTCTGAAAGTATGCCCGGACTCGTGATAATAATTAAAACTAAATCTATCCAAACTTTTGTATTACCAACAAAAATGGAATTCCAGCTCTATATCCATTATTGTTAGAGCTGGATCCAGTCTTGATCTCGTACTTAATTTGTAGCAAAATAATGATAATAATAATAATAGAAAATGACTTTCAGAGGCCAAGTCAGTTATAGCCCCGTTGATTGATGAAGTTACTTCAATCTAGGATCAAAATTGAGTACTCCCCCCACCCCATAATCAGAGCCGTTTTTTGGAAAATTAACTTTTTAATAGAATATTGAATCATTGTATTTGAATAAGGTGGATTTGGGTGATTTTATAATGTTATCTTTAAATTCAAAATTTAATGGTACGAGGAATGCAGAGCAACTACTTTTTCAAATGGTAAAGTTGAAAAACTAATAAAATATTGTGTTCACTTTTAGAGAGTGACTCTTATTTTAGAACTTCTAACAAATAAAACTAAGACATTAGAAAATAGATAATCAAATCTAATAAATAAAAGTGAGAAAATAATTGGGAAAGACTAGGATTTCAGATTTTGTTCTAGAGTTAGAATTAATTATCCAGTTAATTTCTTAACATGTCAAGAATGTGCCACATAAAGTTACTTTAAATTATCTCTCGATACATCTAAATTCTTTCTATACATTTAAATTGTGCCTAATTAAATCTCACATCTCTCTCAAAATTATATGTATTCTATTAAATCCTCTAAGATCCTAGGTGATATAATTACGTTATACACATTTTAATCTACTTTTGTGATTAGGTTAAGTATGTTTACCTATCTAATTCATGGTTGTATATTCCTTCTCAGATCAATACAAACCCTAAGAGCATGTTTATGGTGGCCTATTGCAAACATGTAATTAAATCAAGGCAAAATTTAAGAATTTAACCAAGAGAAATAATTAAATCTCCTTCACAAAACCCTAACTCTAGAATAGAATTAATTCAACATTTTCATAATTGAAATAAAAAATTCAAGAAACAACAACAATATTGGAGAAAAAAGTAAAGAAAACTTCTCAGTTTGTCCAGTTTCAATCCCTGTATTGGTTGCTCCTTCATTCTTCTATCTCTTCTTCTTGATCTTTTAAGAAAAATATGTAAAAAGGATAAACTAAAGTTTCGTTTACTGTTTTCTAACCTAAAAATGATCTAGAATACTCCTATTTGTAGTCTCTCAAAATTGTATCCCAAAATTAGGTTGTTTCCTGATGAAGTTCGGCCCGAAGCCCGCCCCTAACTTGTTTCGATGCTTACGAGCTGTCAAAATCCTGGGAAGTAGGCATGAAGTCCCTTTCAATGTCCGACGCCAGACATGGGATCCACCCAAGGACCCTTTGTATCTAGGCGGCAATCGTTTGCTTTTCGTTTTGATTCCTTCATTGCTCCTTTGCTCGATTCTCCTTGCTAAAATTGGTTCATTTTCTCTCCAATTGAGCTTCCCACCTATTAAAACAATATAAGAACAATAATGAGTAGTTCTCTATTCAAAATAAAACTCTAATATCATGATTAACTAGCAACTTGTACAAATAAATATACTACAAATTATGCCTTATCAGGTATCCATGTCGCGTATCCATACAATTGCAGGTTTTGCACTTCTTGATCAATCCTTAATTTTGCTTTGCTTTTGCATCAATTTGAACTGCAAAATTTGTCAATAATGGAAGCTGAAATAGCTCTTGCAAGAAACATGAAAATTGTAATCCTTTGAGCTAGCTTTCTAATGCATCAAAAATCATGTTATTGGGAGCTCTGGAGGCTGAAAATGTCCAAAATATACTCTACTGGTCAAAACTTTATTTCATATTTTGGCAACATAAATGCATGACTGTATTTTGGCTTTTCGACTATGAAAATGTATGAACTGAATTTCGATATTTTTATAAGAATTGTAACTCTACGTCTTAGATTTAAAATGGTTCAGGAATCATTTCAATTGATGCTTGTACCTCATGTTATAGTCGAGAAACCAGAAGGTATCAGAGCAGCCAATCTTTACTTCCATGCTTCATAATTGCGCTTCACACTTCGAATCTTTTGCACTTTATGTTCATTTGAAATCATTTCAAATAAAAAATCATCCAAATATCTCCTCAATTCACTCCATTTTGATGATTTAACCATTAAAATCTATAAAAAAAATTAAAGTTTTCACTGCTTTAATCCATAGAAATGCAATTTTTCTCATTTAACTACAAAATGCAAAATTTACTAAAAACCTATTTATTTAGCTCTAAAAATAATTAAAAAGCACCAAAAACCTTAGCAATAAACACACTGGAAATATGCAAAATAAACACTTACCAGTAACAGTGAATAAATTGGTGTACTTATAGCAAATATTTAGTTGTACCAAATCTTCAACCCAATTTCATACATTAACGGTTTCCACTCTTGATGGTTATGCCCTCCTTGGATATTACCATTATTTAATAATCCAGTAATTTGGTAATGCCAGAATAAAAAATATTACGCCACAACATGCCCGCTGTTTAGCAGTGTGAAAAGAATCCAATCCATGGCCGCTGCAAAATACAATAGATTGGTCTGGTTTTCTATTTACTAGTATTTTACACAGACACATATTGGTCTGATGGACAGACCAAGGTAGCACTTGCATTGAATTTGGTTTAGTGATAAGACTAGGCCACCAGTCGAATGGAATTGACTGCTGCAGAACAAATTTACAGTAAAGCTTAGGTCCCTCAAAGGCCAAAGCGATAAGATTCGTAACAAACCCCACTCCCACCACGAGAGGCATTAGCAGAAGTTTCGTGCTCACAAATTTCATGCAATTGCAAGTAATGTTTGGATACACTAGAATCAAGCCAAACAGTTGTCTCAGACGTCTTTAATGGGAACTACAAATATACAAAGAGTTAGAACGAAGAAGGTTATGACCATGAAGAAGGTTATACAAAAGGTCTTGGAATGCCCCAGACATTGAATATCATGGCAAGAACGAAGAAGGTTACAGGATGCTCAGTTTCTTGGGCATTAAATTATACAGAATTTTACTTCATTCTTTTGTAGTTTAATTGATATTGTTGCAATTATAGAAATTTAAATAACTACTTACTAAAATAACTCCATAAATTTGACTGGACTACAAATTAACAAACAGATCGGAAGTGTGAAAAAAGATTACAACGTGTATGAAAAATTGACAAAGATTAGATTCGGAAACTCTAAAATATATTCCGAATTCATATAAAAATCAATTGTAGCCCAAATGCAATCTGCGCATCATCAAATCTACTAGTTTTTTTTTTTTTTGTTTGGGCAAAATCAGCTCATTTTCAAATCTACTAGTTAATTGCCTCTCAAATATCAAGCTGAAGATTGACAGAATAAATTGAAGAAATTTCAAATCTGACAAACAGATATGAAAAGACTTAGATCTAACAAGGAGAAAGTACCTAAAATGACAAAAAAAATCTTATTAGGAGACCTTAATATCAAAGCAAACTCTCACGAGAAATTCTAAGAGAGAAAAAGGCTCTCACCGGAAGATCTTATGAAAAAAGAAATTGCCTGCTAAACATCCCAAGAGAGAATTTCATTTGTATTGCAATTTTTTGGAGTTTTTAAAGAAAAATGTGATATAGCAATTTGATCTATGATAAATAAAAAGGTAATTGAAAAATATGTTTGCTAAAAACATAATTTTTTTGGAAAAAAAAATAGCAATCCAAACAAGAATTAATGCAAGTTATAAGAAAAAAGCAAATATAAAAGAAAAAACAAAGCTATAAAATTAACAGTAAATATTATATACACTAACAATATATATACTATCATTGTTGGATCTATGATACATGTGAAAAAAATTGGATTTTAAATTCAAATTTATACAGTTATCATTCATAAAAAAAGGACAATATATACATTATCAGTGTATATAAGATTAATTCTATAATTAATTACATATAAAGGAAAGAATAAAGCTATAAGAGCACAGCAGGTGTGTTCTAAACGCAATATTTGCTTAAGGCTAAAATTAATTAATGCAAGTGGAAGAGAGAAAAAATAGAGCGACTCTATTACATTTTGCAGCAGCCAGGACTCCTTTTCACACTCAAGCAAAGTGATGACCTTAACAAGAAATTTTTGTACTCTATCCTACTAACTTTTTTTTGTGCTCTATCCTACTAACTGATGGTATTATTCTTACCAACAAAGGGGACAATCATTTTCTTCGGTAACGCATTGTTGACTTCAAGACCTGACGGGTTTTGGGGTAAAAAATTTGAGCCGCCATTGAACTATTGGTCGAATCAAATTTTGACTATTAAACAATTTTTCATTATAAATTGACCATTAAGCTAATTAATCAGTATACCTGCGACCATTGCGTCAATTGATACTTTTAATCTATAAAATAAGCAGATCACCTGGCAAAGTACAGGGGCAGTTTTGTCCCGCACTTATACGATTAAAAGCAAAACTATGCCACGTGTTCTGCTTATTTTATAGATTAAGAGCATCAATGGGCGCAATGGTCATGGGTATATTGATTAGTTAATTTAGTTGCCAACTTGCGATGAAAAATCGTTTGATGGCCAAAACTTAACCCGATCAATAGTTTAATAGCCGTTGAAATTTTTTGCCCATGGGTTTTGATTACTAATTCAATCGCTATATTTTTGGTTTATTATGTCAATCCCTTCAAAGGCATGAATTTAATATTCTTCCATAAAAATAAACAGATCGACCATCTTTCTTATTAGTATCCCACTGGATTTTTTTTTTTTTAAAAATTGTTTTACAGATTGTTTAGTTGTTTTGGGACAGAAAAGTGGCATGATCACTATAAATTTCTGTATCCAATTTAAAACGTTATAAAACTTCTGATATTTTGTTTTATTCAGTTCACTAACTCTCATCACCGTGGCTTCGATCCGCTTCGTTCAAGGAGCCAATATAGTCAAGGTATACTATCAGATACATCTTGAAGTTTATCTTGATGTCACTTAGTAAGGTTTTTAATATATTACTCACATCTCCTTATAATTGTAAAATGACTATATTATCTCTTACTAAATACATAATTGCCATGTCAAATAAATGAAATTAAAAAAATTAAAGAAAAACAAACAAAATTCACTTTTTTTCTCTTTTCCCTTTCTCTAACATTTTCTTTTATTCATTTTTTGGATGGTTATGCAATTTTTTATTTATAAATATAGTAAATTAAATTTTAGTTATTTTTTCTTTTGTGATTATGATTTCATTGTTTATTTGAAAATTTTTTATAATTATTTAGTACAACTTAAAAGTTTATACCACGAGTTAAAAAGAGGTTAGGACAAAAAAGGGTTCATTAGAAATCGATTGTGACCATATAGAGTTGAATTGGTGTGAGTATATTTCTTTACAAATATCTTTTGTATTTTTCAAGTTTATATTTTTATGGACTATAGTTTTGTTATGTGGTGGTATTACAAGCGTTCATTTATTAGGTTGTAATTTTTCTTGAAGTAAACAAAGTGGTTTAGGAGTATTTTTTATGTAGCAAAATGAGCAAAAGGGTAGCTTAGGATTTTCAAAAATTCTGTTACACAAATATCAAAGTAAGGAAGTTAAGTAATATTTTTAAAACTTTAGAGGTGCTAAGTGACATTGAGAGAAACCTCAGGGGAGGTTTTTGATATTATCCTATAGTCAAACTCCTTTTAAAAAGCTAAGCAGTCATTAATCACACAAAAGCAAAAAGCAGCAAGCAGCTGCAGTAGGCAGTAGCATATCCAGGCCATCATCCAGACTCCATTATATCCGCCCAATTCCATCTTCCATTGTAACAATCCTTAATAAACCCCTCCACAACCGTCAACCACCATCTTCCGCCGGAACAATCCTTCTTAAACCCCTTCACAATCGTCAACCAGAATCCCACCAAAAAAAATTAAGACAAAAAAAGAGAAAATTATAAAGAAAAGGAGGAAAAAAAGAAGAAGAAAGAGAATAGAAAAGGAGGCGAAGAAGAAAATCTGAAGCGAAGAGGTGGTTGCTCATCGGTTTCACTATCGCCGGAACTGACTGCGCCCACTCCCAGTCCCCGGCGAGATCATCCCCAAGAAAGCAATGTAATGATCCTTTTTTTCCCTCAGTTTTTAATTGCTGTCTAATCACATCTAAAATTTTGTGTGTCAATACTCGAGGAAAAAATCTTAAATACTCTACATGCAATAGTTAGCATTGCCACGTACTGTATTAACATCAATAATATGCCACCAAATTCACATCACTACATAGTGATGGCGTATCATATTTTGTTTGATAAACAATAAACAAATTACTTGATTAATGATTGATATTGTTATACCATGTCGTAACGTAATGTATGTAGAACATGCAATACCTTCTGGTATCAAGATTGTTTATTCCATAATTTTTCCAAGCGGAAGCTTAAAATTAGGCTGATTGATTTATTTGTTTATGTACGTGTTAAGAAAGCTAATGTTTCTCTTCTGTCTTGTTTACCTTAGATCAACTGAATATTGGTCATCAAATTATGAGAATTGAAATTGAACTAACACCTGGTTTTTACAACTTGCAGGAAGGTGCTCCACATTAGAACGTCAAGCCTGCCTTCCTCGCAATTCATTTCTCTTGTTTCCATATACTAGGAGCAGTGTAGGTAAAGACTCGAAATTTTCATCTCAAAATGAGAATTTTTTTTTTCGTTTTAATTCAAAATTTGAAGTGTTCAGTAGATCTAGAGTCCATTTAGTTGGTGCATAAACGGCCGATCATTTCTCACTCCATTTTAGGTCCTTTCCCATCCTTTTTCTCTTTTTCTTCATTAGGAAAAAATAATTTTGTAACTTATAAGTTTTTTTTTTTAATTTGATAGGAAGATTAGACACCGGTTAGATCGGTTGCCTAGGAATCCTTTACGGTAGATGAGGGATCCCCAAAAACCGTGAAACCCAGTTACAAGATTGAACTCATCTTGGCCAGGTTTTAACTATTCTTATCTTTATTTTTACTACTAGTATTTTTACAAGATTTTTAGATTCAGACCCACAAAAACTATAATGAATCTTGGCAAAACTTGACTTGTTGACAGGCTGCCTACATGTGGGCCCTACTTCTTTTTTTTTTTAATAAGGGCCGTACTATATTTATATACATCAACTTGATGGAAATTTTCATAAATAGAAGAAGGGCTAATCAGATTGTGCTCTATTAGTCAAGGGATTATTTCACAAACCTCTCTTGAACTTTATGACAATTTTACTCAATTCCCCTCGGGTTTTACAAATTAAAATGATTATAATGACCTTCACTTAATAGATACTTCACAGTGTAATGAAATTATTTTAAAAAAACCCTACTTGTCCGATTCTCCTGCTCACAATTCACAGCCAACAACGATGATTCTTTTTCGCTTATTCGTTCTCATCCATCAACCCCTTTTTCCTATAACTCACTCTCAAATTCCCACCAACAACTGCTTACAACTATTGCCAATTATACTACAAGTGATCTCTCCAAACTCTACTATATATTCCAATTATTCCTGTCTTCCCTTTGGAATTGCCAAATCACAAGTCCAGTTAACAGAGGTTAAAGTAAAATATGAATTCATAGTCAAACTAAAAGGAAATGAAGAGACTCACAATAATAGTGGAACAGGTAGTGCAATCATTGGCTAAAATATGAAAGCGGTTGAAGTTGGTGAATTTGCTAATTTCTCTATCATCCATCCAGAAAACTTTTGTAAGATGTTAATATTTAATGCTTAGCATTTGTTGGTTGTGGTTTCATTATGGAGGTAGAGCTTCTTCTCCATATTTAAGATGTTAACATGTTTGGGAATTTGATGGTAGACTAAATTATTTTGTTTTGAGATGGTGTGGGCAATGGGTTTGATGCCTGAAGTGTGATTAATTATAAATAGAATTTTAGCAGGCTAGATTATTTTGTTTTGAGATGGCGTGGGCATTGGGCATTGGGGTATGACCAGTTATAAATAGAATTTTGGTTTTTAGCAAAATGAATTTTTTGAAGATCTCTATGCTCATAATGTTGCCTATCCTTTTTTTAAACTTGATTAATCTTGTCCATGCCTAAAACTTCCCTGGGAATTTTCTTCAAGGCCATAATATGTTGTTCATGAAGTAGGAATGGAGCCACTTATATGAAATCAAACCATGACATCCTATTCTAAAGATTATGCAAATATAAGAGTAATTGATTGTGAGCTTTGACCATTCCATGGAACCATATGATGAGAATATTTTTGAAGGATGGAACGAACCTTCAGGGTCGGATGTATGCTTTGAGAGAAGCAATTTTATGACTATGATGATGGAATTACTTGGGTTTGAAATTTGGAATTAGAGTGTTTATTAGACTGGTTTGCTAGTATAGTGAGTTCGGCGAAAATGTGGAAGAAGGTGATTGGCAAAACAAAATTTTTTTTTACAAAAAGGGTAGTTTAGGATCTTTGGGAAAAAAAATATTGCTTTTTGGGCCTATATTGTTACATGAATAGTAAAAGCAAGAGAAGTAGGCATAATTTAATAAAATTGAGGGCAGCTCTCTGCAACTATCAAAAATTTCAAGGGAGTTTTCTAAAATTATCCTATTGATCTATGACAAACTACATTACTTTAGAATATATTACCTTAATAAATAAATTTTCTTAGCTATTTTGAAATGAAAAGACTTGACATTCCTAAAGTAAATTTGTTTATGCACTCATCCTTTTAGGCGGTAAAGTATTTCATTCGATAATAGCTACAAAAATTTGTTTGATTGTTAATTAATTTGAGCAACGTGACACAAATTTGAGATTATTGGGTACTAAAGTACTAATTATGACAGCTTATGGAGCAAATTTAAAATGGTGATAGTTGAGGGTTATGCTACGATCCAGACACGGATGAAGGTATAAAAGGAATCCAGTTTTGAAAGTATTTTGAGTTTTCCATTGTTACTCAGATCTGGGGACAACAAAAACGTGAAAGTAAGACTACAGTTGCAGAGGGGTAATACTTTCATTACCTAAAATATTAGTGTGATCATGTGGACAACCGAAAAAAAAAATCAAGAAATTCCACCTGTCTATCTATAGCATTTCTCTGTCTGATAATTTTAAATTTTTACTTAAAATTTCTGCTTTCGAAATATTATAATTTGCATATGCAACAACGTCAATTATTAGTGCTAGCCATTCAAGTGGATAATGTTTTATGGTATTTGATAACCTGTGTTTGTCTGTCTCCTTGCAACAAATTGGCTTGATTTTTATTCTAACGTTTAGTTAATTACATGCTTCACTTGTTTGGGTTTGATTTCCATCAAAAGAAAAAATGCTCTATTTGAGCTCAGGCTGGCAGGCAAATAATATTTTTTAATTCAAAATGGTTGCTTCATTGTTGTTTAATTGTTTAAAAACTTTACAAATTCAACACTTTATAAAATTCGTCCCATCACTAATATGGAGTATGGCTTTTGACGTCTAGCCGTCTCAATTATTTTTATAGGATATAAATGTGAACAGCTGCACAGTTCACATCCCAGCCATTAATGTTTGAATTTTTCAGTGGCGATGGTTCATTTCCAAAACATTGTTTTATTTTCTTAAATGTTTACAGCAAATTTGTTTTGATTGTTGTCAATTGGAGAATTTGCAGGAAATAGTTGGTGTGTTTGGAGAGGAGATTATTTGAAATATTGTTTGAAGTAATTACTGTAATATTTTTGATGATGTGATATATGTGAAATAAAAAAAGTGATTGAAAAAATAAAAAATTACAAAACACGTTTATGATTAACGTAAATAATACGTTGCAAATAAGCCTAAATACAAACAGATTAAGTGTCAACACATGTAGCTTTTAACTCATGGAAACATTGACAAACTCTCCATTTTGCATCCTGCAGGTTTACAATACAGTTTTTGGACACTTCTTGATCAAGCGAAGTTGTTCTTTGGAGACTGGGACTAGACAGAGACCTGAACATCGAGATGGCTTCCACTCGCATTGATTCTGTCTTAGATAACATCAAACGTTGGGTTGATACGATAGATAATTTGTCGAATATAGATTCACAGTTGAAGGATCTATTTGATAAGAGTCTGAAAATTGCGAAGCTGGATTTAAAACTTGTGAGAACATTTCCTCTGTGTGCAAGAAAATGGAGTATTGACGGATGGAAGCAGCTTGAAGATTTATTGTTTAACTTTGAAACTTCTGGTGTCAATCTTGCTCAGGCGCTAAACATTCTACCGGAGCAAGAACTCTTGCTTGAAGTAAGCTGTTATTTTGGTGAAAAACAGAGGATTTCCTGCACAGAAATCAGCGAAATGTACAGGACTTTATTGGATCTCTCATCAGAATCCAATCATTCTCCTGTGATAGATGATGAATTTTTTAATTTCATTAACTCCCTGCTAGAGAATCTGGTGGATATTCTCAACATTGAAGCTTATAATCGAGGTTTGCTTAAGGTAGAATTTGAACCCCTCCAAGAGAAGTTAAAATTCTTGAAGGATTTGATTCTCTTTGCAACATGGCAAGGTGTTGATCTTGATCCCTGGAAAGGGCCCATGGCTCGCTTTCAAGTTGTGGTTGTCCAGGCAGCGAATCTCTCATTCAGGTGTTGGTTTGACAGTTCATTCGGGGAAGATTGGCAATTTGGCATGATGTTCACCACTCCATGATTTCTAATCTGCGGCAAGAAATGAAGCTTCTTGAAGCCCAATTTTCTGAGACTTGTCTCCAGGGCTTAAGAGCTTCAAAATTGCCAGGATCATTTAGAACTCCAAAGCTTGAGAATGATATATGTATATTTGGGGACTTTGCTGATTCCCTCTCAGGTATGCTTTGGGAGGTTCTAAACAGTGGCACCAGCTTCCTGGTTTCCAAACAAGATCAGATGCAAATACTCTATGATGGACTCAGATTTTTCAGAACCATTTTCAAAAGCAGCAACAAAAGTTCAAGGGACTACACCAAAAGATGAAGGATCTTTCAGGAGCTGTCATCCATGAGGCAGGAATTCTGATTTTTTCACTTTTTGCAAACAGAATAGAAGAAACCCTGCCCCAGGAGCTGGATCTTGCATTTCCTATTTTGCTCCAGAAGATTAAGCTTATTAAGATAGTAGCATCAACTCTTGAGTCTTTAGGGACCAATGGGCTTGGCTTTATCAAGTTTCACAGAAACAATCTAAAAGAACTTGTGGAGCTTGATTTAATTGTTTATTCAAAGGATCAAATTCAGGAAGTCCAAAAAGAGTTAAAATTCTTGGGATCTGTTTTCAAGAAGCATGAAACGCTCACAGCTTTTAAGATGCGTGTTTTAAAGGAAGTCCACAAGGTAATTTTTGTAATTAATTCCTCCGATCTTTCACCTTCGTCCCTTGATAGGATCTTAGAAGAAATATTCCTTTTGAAAATTGAGGCCCTCGTGATTGATGTGATGTATGGCCTGAAGCCCAGAAACTTGCAAATATTTCTAACTATGTCTCGCTACAAGAAAGCAACGCACATCTGAAAGATGGTTTGGTAGGTTTCCATGAGGTGATAGATGAAATAATTGGTCAAGTTACAAATATAGCCCAGAAGAAATTGGACATTGTATCCATTGTGGGCATGGCAGGACTAGGCAAGACAACTTTAGCCAAACGAGTGTACGAGCATCCTGCTCTGAGAAACAACTTCAATTTTCGGGCATGGTGCAACGTTTCTCAGGAATATCAGAATGAAGGTTTGTTACGTGAAATTCTGGGTTGTATTCATCCTGAGAATTCTAAGCTGTACTCTGAGAAGGAAGAAGGTGCTTTGGCTTTAGAGCTCAAACAATCCCTATTGAAAAATAAGTACCTCATCATCTTGGATGACGTATGGGACATAAAGGCATGGAATACCTTGAAAGTATCATTCCCAGATGATGAAAATGGAAGCAGAATTATTATAACAAGCAGAATGCATGGGGTGGCTTCAGATGCTAAATGCTACAGTGAACCTCACTGCCTTCGGCCATTCAACGATAATGAGAGCCGGGAGTTACTAAAGAAAACACTCTTTCCCAACGATGATTTTCCTCCTAAACTGCGAAGAGTTGGGATGCAGATAGCTAAAAGCTGTGGTGGGCTACCTCTCTCAGTTGTCATCACAGCTGGGATTCTGCAAACTATAGAACAGGATGGTTGGCAGGAATTTGCAGCAAGGCTAAGTACAAGTGTAGTTAGCGGCACAGAGCAGTGCATCAATATGTTAGAACTCAGCTACAGGCGTATACCTGATTGCTTGAAGAAATGCTTTCTTTATTTTGGACCATTTGTACGAGGTCAAGAAATTCCAACTAAAAGGTTAATGTGGCTATGGATCGCCGAAGGATTTGTGCAACAAGTTGAGCAAGAGGAATCAGAGGAAGTAGCAGAGCGCTGCATGAAAGGTCTAATTGACAGAAACTTAATTATGGTTGCCAGATGAAGATCCATTGGTGGGGTTAAAACTTGTCGCGTTCATGATTTGATACGTGAGTTTTGTGCAGCAAAAGCTAAGGAAAAGGCTTACCCAAAAGGAGGTAAGGAAGAGACTGACCCAAAAATAGCTGAGGCAGAGAATTTTTTGCAGTTGCAGTTGTTACACGGTTATGAAGGACTTTTTACTTTTAGTGAGTCATACAACACAAGCAGGTTTTGCATATACTCTAAGCAAGAGCATTTTGAGAAGTCAAGGCTATTTTGTCCTCAGATCCGTTGTCTGATGTTCTTTTCCCATGGTGATAGGTACCCAAAAAAATACTGTGATAACTTGTTCATATTTAAAATCTGCAAACTTCTTACAGTGTTGGATTTGGGGGAAGTTCTCCTAGTGAACATTTTCCCACTGAAATAGAGGTGCTTGTTGAGTTAAGGTACTTGGCAATTTGGGGTAAGATGCAATCCGTCCCATCGTCAATACCCAACCTCACCAATTTGGAAACTTTTCTTGTTAAAAGGAATTGGGGTGATGATGTTATTATGTTGCCAGAGAATATTTGGAGTATGATGAATTTGAGGCATCTGGGCGTGAGCAATTGTTGTGGTGACATGAGTCTGGCCAAAGACAATCTTGACAACCCGTGGGTTCTATGTAATTTGAGCACCTTTTCCAATCTAGCGCTCGTTTACGAGCAAGGCGTGGAAAAGCTGTTAACAAAGCTCCCTAACATCCGTAGACTAAAGTGCAAGCTCCGTGAACCAGAAGATTCAGAGGATTTGGGTACGCATTGCAGCAGGGTTGAGTCAATGGGCTTTCTGACTCGGCTAAAATCACTCAGTCTGTCTTTTAAATTCATTGATCATTCAAATCCTATTCAGTTTCACCTTCCACCGAATCTCGAGAAGTTAAGCCTCTCGTACTTTCCCTGGAGTATGATTTCTGCAATTGAGAAACTAACCAATCTTGTGGTTCTCAAATTATCGAATGATGAGGAGGACATATCCGACAGAGAAGCAGAGCTCCCTCATGAAAATATGACAGACGGTGACCATGAGGAGGAAATTCCGGAAGTGGTAGAAGAAGGGGAACAACCTGAGGAGGAAACAACAAGGGAGAAAAGATGGGACGTAGCAGAAGAAGTTGAATTTCCGAAGCTCAGATTCTTAAAGTTATCTTCCATGACTATTTCCAGGTGGACAGGGTCGGGTGATCATTTTCCAGGTCTTCAGAGATTAAAGTTGGAGGACTGTTGGTATTTGAAAGAAATGCCGAACTGTTTGGGGTCTAATTCACCTCTTCAAATGATTGAGATTCGCTATTGTCCGATGTCTGTTGAATTTTTAGTATACGAGATTGAGAGACAACAAAAGTATGAAGGAAATCAGGACCTGCAGATTTTTAGACAACAAAATTACGAAGGAAATCAGGGCCTGGAGCATGAAGGAGATCAAGGCCTGCATATTTACAGCTTCTTGAGGTAGAATAGCATAGTTTTTTTTTTCTTTTTCTACTTTGTATTGTACCTTATCTGACATGTTAAACGAGGTGAAATCATGTTATCATTGTAAATTCATTGGAAATGAGTATGAAAGCAGACCACCTCTTTGTTATAGTATCCACAGCAATAAAGATAGAAGTGGAAGTAGGAAAGGAAAAACAAAAAAGAAAAGCAATGGATGAAGACTTCATCTGACACAAATAATATTGTTTTTCTTTTTCTGTGGAAGCCTTTGACCTAAGTTATCAATAGCAAATGATTATTTGCTTATTTAAACTATAATGTTTTCGAGAGAAAAACCAGATTGCCACAATCTCACATTGTTCAATTCCTACTTAACTACTGAGAAGTAGATAAACATCACAAACACCAGTGAACCAAAAATGTAGTTGCTATAATTGTGCTTCATGATTAAGGAGTAAAGACCAAAAAAGAAGTGCAAATTGCAAATGCTAATGTTTGGGGACTACTTATGCTCATAGGGACCGGACTCAAAGAGAAATCTTCAAATTGTTATTGCTTATTATGAAATTGGTAATAGACAAAACTAGATGTCTATTGGCAAATGTAATTTATAAACAATAAAAAGAGGATAGTATTCCTTCATTCCTTTCTCTTTAGTATTGAATCTTAAAGTTAATTCCATTTTGCAACCTTGGGTTATATTTTAAGTGTCACTTTGGTCTTTGAACTAAAGTTTTGAACACTTGCTCTATAAAATATTAAACCCGTCCTACTATAATGCAGTTGTTAATAGAACATACAAAACTAACAAAATAACTGCCACTTTCTTTAAACAAAGAGTCTAGTTTTAGTTTTAAGTAACTAAAGTTTAAGGAGTAACTGAAAATCATGGTATACTTCTCAACGACGGATGGAAAACTTTCTTTATAATACGAGAAAAAAAAAATCACACTAAAATACAACTTTGAATCTCGAAGCAAATCCTTATATAGCCTCTCTAAGCTGTCGAGAAATCTCTTTCCCCCTTGTCTTGTGTGCGTTAGTAGAATGCCAACTCTTCTATTTATGGAGTACATTAATTGGCCAACACCCAAACAATAATAGAAAATATCTCAACTAATTTGTAAACTCATACAAATTGCAAAGAACTTGGCCATTACTCCAAGTACTGGAAACAACTGGAAAGTACTCTCACACAAAAGAATGAACTTTCTAAAACTGAAAAACAAGTCAATTTCCTAAAATTAAACTTTTGAAAAGTTTATGCATCATGTACATGGGGGCTGAGGGGTGGGAACAGACATGCTTGACTATTTGTACCAACATAACCGTTCCTAAATAGTGTAATGTTATTTGAATAAAATGTAAGACACTTAATTATTAATTTGTACAACTTCATAACAGTGGTGTGAAATTCCGTGATTATTCATGACAACCATTACAAACACATACATATGCACATTTAAAAAATTTTAAGAAAGCAACAAAAAAAAAGTATAAAAAATACACGAAGCTGTAATATTGCACGGTATCATAATTAAGCTTTGATAATTTGTTGCTATGTTTGCTTAGATATAAACACACACTAAACTAAAACTGATTAATTAACTTCTCAAATATGATTTTCTTTGCCACTGAACTTCTCAAATAGAGATTTAACACATCGAGTTTTTCAACATTGCCCGTCTAGATAGGAAAGAGTTAGTCCCTTAGGAAATCACTAAACTATTGCAAAAGAAAATATTGATCACTCAACTAAGAGTTTCAGGTAACGTACTCAACTTTTTTAATTTGTAAATTGTTAGCCATTCAATCTAATTTTTGTGGTCAAATCCTTTGATTTCAGTAAGTCCAGGGTCATTTACGTCTGTAAATAATAATTATGTACACAATAAATAAACATAAAAATGAGAAGAAGGACCCATCAACTGCCTAAACCCTCAGTGAAGACATAATAAAAAGAGATAAATTGATCCAAAAAAAAAGATATATAAGATTAAAAAAAACCAACATTTTCTGGGTGATTTCTTCCTTTTCTGCTCTTCAAAATTATGCATAGCGAATATATAAAAGATTCTAGCTTGATGGCATTTCAAAGACCTGATGACTAAAATGTTTAAATTCTTTTAGTTCAGGGAATTGGAAGTTTAGCTGCTTTTGAAGTTTTCAATCTGTGGTCTAATTCATGTTCTTATTCAGTTCGGACGTAGCAATTGTTTAATTTGCTAATTCAATTGCACATTTCAAAACGTTGAAACCATAGTAATTGGAGCCCATAATGTTTGTTTGTTTGCAACAAACCAGTACCCAAAATCATAAACACCAAATTTTCAACACAAAAACGTTTGCTTGAGCAGTATATGATGCCCATGTGAGAACAAGTAGCTATATCAGCTAAATTGAAGATAGCGGTTTCACTGAAGCTCAAAATTTGAGATTTAGTCGCATAATTTCAACGATTTAAATTCAACGCCCAACTTGTTAATTGGGTCAAACAATCAGTGAAAAATTTAGCTTATTCAAAATTTCAAGGTTACTATTGGATATTAGGCCAAGAATTGAGAGGAATATTTGGAGACAAGGGTGGTTTCAATTGTTTCTTTCTTTTATTTCTTTTACTCTCTTATATTGGTTTGGAGTTTACAAGGTCAATTTATACTTGTAAATAATCATTCTAGATGCATAGAGAAATGTTCCAACCATCCCACCAACTCTCTTAATTTCCATCATTCCAGAGAATATTGCAACTATCTAGAAAGCTTTCCAACTACCTTATTAATCAAGCTAATTGATTTAGCACATTATTCAACATATTCCCCCCTTAATGTGCTGTCCTTGAACTCCAAGCATCTCTCGAAAGTAGTTGAACTTGTCTTTTGGAAGTGCCTTGGTAAAGATGTCTGCAACTTGGTCTTCACTCTTGCAAAATTTTAGTTCAACTTCACCATCTTCAATTGCATCTCGAATAAAATGGTGCTTGATTGCAATATGGCGAGTTCTGCTATGATAAACTGGATTTTTGGCAATGTCAATTGCTGATTTGTTGTCACAGAACATCACAGTAGCTTCCTTTTGCTTCTCACCAATATCTTCAAGAATTCTCCTAAGCCAAATGGTTTGTGATGTTGCCAAACTTGCGGATACATATTCAGCTTCTGCTGATGATTGTGCCACGCTTTGTTGCTTCTTTGATGCCCAAGAAAATACTCCAGAACCAAGCGAAAAACAATAGCCTGAGGTGCTCTTCATATCATCAAGGCATCCACCCCAATCACTATCACAATAACCATGCAGATTTAAAGTAGTGCTTTTGCTGAATTTGATGCCATAATCGAGTGTCCCTTTGATGTATCTTAACACTCTCTTGGCTGCTCCAAGATGTAATTGACTAGGATTGTGCATAAACCTTGATAATAAACTTGAAGCAAACATGATATCTGGCCTTGTAGCTATGAGATAAAGCAAATTTCCCACCAAACTTCTATACAAAATGGAATAAACTTTCTTTTCACCATCTTCCTTGACAAGCTTTTCACTTACAACAAGTGGTGTAGCCATAGGTTTACAATCAGCCATGCCAAATTTCACAAGAATATTTTCAGCATATTTCTTTTGACAAATAAAAGCTCCATCACCATGTTGATAAATCTCCATACCAAGAAAATGATGTAGCAGTCCCATATCATTCATTTCATATCTTTTCATCATGTCTTTCTTAAAATCAGCAATCATCTTCTCATTGTTACTAGTGTAAAGCAAATCATCAACGTATAAAGCAACAATGAGAATGTTTGAGTTACCTTGAGTTTTCACATATAAGGTTGGCTTACTTTTACTCTTCTTGAATTCTTGCTCCATGAAGTAAGAGTCAATTTGACTATACCAAGCCCTTGGAGCTTGTTTCAATCCATATAATGCTTTCTTCAACTTATACACTTTGTCTTCTTGTCCTTCTTTGACAAAACCTTGAGGTTGTTGAACATACACCTCTTCCTTCAATTCTCCATTCAAAAAGGCAGATTTAACATCAAGTTGGTAGAGATTCCAACCTTTTTGGGCTGCTATGGCAATGAGAGCTCTAATTGTATCAAATCTTGCAACCGGTGCAAATGTTTCATTGTAGTCAATTCCGGGCTGTTGTGAATAACCCTTAGCAACAAGTCTTGCCTTCTTCTTTTGGATTGAACCATCTGGATTCATCTTAACTTTGTAAATCCACTTGACACCAATGACCTCCTTGTCTCGAGGCTTTTCAACTAGCTTCCAAGTCTCATTTTTCTCAATTGCATAAATTTCATCTTCCATTGCCTTTCTCCAATCCTTTTCTGCATATGCTTCTTCAAAACTTTCTAGTTGAAGAATGCAAAAGTTGCATCTTGCATAAACATCACTTAAACTCCTCATTTTCATTGGAGTTGTGTTTGGAGAACTCCAACTCGAACTTGAATTTGGAGATGATGGTGGACTGCTTGTTGGTGTTGAATTATCACCATTTTCTTCTTCATTTGTTGAATTTTCTTCTTCTTTATGATGGCAAACACCCTGCTTCACAATCTTTTTCTCATCCCAATTCCAAGCAGCATTTTCATCAAATACAATATCTCGACCAATAATGATTTTGTTAGTCTTCAAATTAAACAATCTATAACCTATAGACTTAGAGCTATAACCAACAAAAATACATTTTTCACTTACTTCATCAAGCTTGTACCTCTTTTCTTTTGGAATTTGAGCATAGCAAATGCTCCCAAAAACCTTCAAGTGTTTCACTGATGGTTTCCTTCCACTTCATGCTTCAATTGGAGTTTGATTCCACACGGCCTTTGTAGGACTTCTATTGAGCAAATACACAGCTGTATAAACGGCTTCAGCCCAAAATGCCTTTGGCAACCCTTTGTCATGTAACATGGATTTTGCCATCTCCATCACAGTTTGGTTCTTTCTTTCCGAGACTCCATTTTGTTGTGGTGTATAGCCAACGGTTAGCTGCCTCTCCAAACCTTCATCTTCACAAAATTT